AACTTTTCTTATTTCTTTACGAGTGCAGATGAGTGGCGGATTAAAATCACTTACGGCGTTCAACTCTTTTTCGTAATGATGACCTTGCTTTTTGATTCCTTTCAGCTTCGCTTGATGCACTTTGCCATCACTCAGAATGATCTTCAATAATAGATTCCCTTTAGGCAGTTGAACTTCCGAGTCACGGAGCGGTTGGTTGTCCATCAGTGCCACGACCTTTACAAAAGCGATGGATCCTATGACGAAAGAAGAAGCAAAATAAATTTTTCTGCGTGGTTAAACAAGCAATCACTTCGATCTTTGCTCTCATATTAGACGCCAAAAGATGATATTCGCAAGAAATATTTAGAGGCTTAAAATTTGGAAACAGATCAGCCATCTTGTTCGATCTTTGCGTAAGTGTGTTTCATAAATAGAAAAATGTTTTTTAAATCATCAAATTACATGTTCACTGTTGAAAATTAGTTAAACGCGCATTCAAACTACACATGTTAGCGTTTGACACCAGGCCAATGTGTTTCCAGCAAGGAATAAAACCGCAGCCTCTCGGTTATGGCTCATATCCTGTCTTTCAGGTCTATCGTTGTGCCAAAAATCATGCTACACGTGCACTCCAGATTTGGAGAATACAAGTACCGGGTAATGCAGGTAATAGTGCTCTACTTTCAAATTTACACCTGCTATGTCAAAAGCTTGGGATAAGGAACAGGAAATGTTAGATGAGGATGAAAATTGTTCTTTACCTGGCTCAAGAGGCAAGAGTTGATCCTCGAGACGGTTTCCTGCCTTGTCTCGTAACTCGTTCAGCCCGTCTAAATAGAAAGAATAAATTGAAATAAGAGAGTTGACTTTGAAGTGTTAAATTGGTGGCAGGAAGCTATAACTGTTAACTGTGCCTCAGAGAATATTCGGTCAGTAAGAGGGGTGTATCGACTCATTTCCCACTTTACCCTCTACTTTGGGTGGATGTGGAGTGGGAGTGCGTGGAAAAAGAGGCAGGTCAACAATATGGAAGTTTAAGAGACCCATGACTTGGTGTCAATCTAAAGTCACATCCTACTGGGATCATGCACTTTCACTTTAGTTTGTTTTCCTACTTAGTACGAACTAGTTTTGAATGACTTGGTTGATGAACCTTTTCAAGCAACTTTTAACCCGGCTAAAAACGCGGTTTCTATTTCAGCTCGACCGGTTTGAGTATTGCTAAGTTGGGAAACTCAACCGCCAACTGGTGTCTACATTGTTCAAATCTATTGCACGTAGCATTTTTTTTGCGAAACGTTGGAGTGAAGGAAAAAGTCAGCGCTTGGGTTGCTTGCACACACAGTCATGTCTTGTCAGAAGACATTTTTCATTGCTTTAAGTAACAGAAGTATTCTAGTATCCCCGAGAAAGCTACGATGGAAGGCTACTAATTGTCAAGTAGATTTTCTGCTCAGGAATCTTCTCACTTTTTCCAGAATTCTGGGAATCCATTTTGGGAAACACTCTTGAGTTCTCGAAAACTTCTTTGGTTTTGTCTGAGGAGGAATTTTATCGTGTGTGAGGATCTTTATTAAAGAAAATGGAATTCATAGACAGTCAGGTATCAGAAAGGATACAAAAAATATACTTCTAACTACATGATGATGGGGGGGATGGGGGGAGGGGACAACTTACGAGCTATAAAAAAGCGGCAAAAATAATTACACGCCTCCCTTTACCAACTGGTCGACAACCCTGCACTCGACAAAATACAGTCGAACCTGTAGTAAGCAGCACATTATTAAGCGGTCACCCTGTATTAAACGGTTGATTGTTGAAGTCCCGAGTTTTTCCTCTTTATTGCTGTAATTTGAACTTTTTAGCGGTCAGCCCCATTAAGCGGTTGTGGTCATCCTTTACAAAGTCCCAACCGACTGTTTGTATTGTTTTTCACACCTACATCGAATGGTCATTTGAAGCGCAACCACTCAAATAAAACTGAGAATAATCGTTCTAGTAAAATTTAATCCATGTTTATCGCCAAAAATCATTGTTAGTAGTATTTTTGAGCGTTTTTGTGTAAATCAAGGATTCAATTATGGCAGAACATGGCGTTTTTCATCGTTTCTTACAACGGTAATAAGCGATCATTCTGTATTAAGCGATCACCACTACATTGCTCGTGGGTGATTGCTTACAACAGGTTTGACTGTTTAAGAAATCTTATAATTACTTTCTAATACGTTACTTAAAAATCCCACCAATCCCCACCCTCTCCAACAAACACTGTTGCCTAAAATTACTGACCATTTTATAACCCCAGGCAACTGAAAAATGGGAGGGGGGTAAAGGGTGGGGGAGGGGGACGGAAGGGAGATATAAATGAAAGGTATAAGAAATTGAAAAATACTAAAGGGTGCCAAGACTTTTGCTGCTTGTTATAGTTGTGGTAGTCGTTCTACTGTGTCTCAATCACCAACGAACGAGTTTAACGTGAGCTGATGGTAATAATGTTCTCAGTGTTTCTCGATTTTTTCTTCACAATACTAAATCACAGTAGAAGCAGATCACTGATAGAGGTAATGTGGGTATATTTGTATTTCGAATCGACAGTTCATGGTTAGAGCCCAAAGTTATTTCATTCGAGTTGACTCGAAAAGAAAAAACGATCACAATGCCCAGATATCAAAAGTTTGAAACGGGAAAAAACCAAACCCAATCTTAACGGTAAAAGAATGCCTATTCGCCATTTCTTGTTATTTCCTGACTTAGCATTTTGCATACAGATATGTATATAGATAGGAAGAGAACCGCTTATAAAAAAAAATAATTAAACCTAAATTCCTCGACTTATACACTTGCGTCTATTATCTCGCACAGCTTCTTTTTGTTGTTAATGTTACCGCAGCTTGAGAGCCACAGCTTTTTTAAAGGAGAGTGTTAATACTCGACAAAAAGAAGATTTAAATCATTTTTCCCGAATGCAGCCAGTTGAAGAGAGAATAGATAATTTCAATAATTTCCGCTCCATGCTAATCAAAGACTTGACACAAAATTAAAATTGCAAATTGCGCTGTATTTAAGCTCGTGTTTAAGAACAATCAGAATTTCGCCATACGAGCATCTACGAGTATGAATCCGAAGGTCTGGAGTTCGATTCCTCATGGGGACTCAAATTTTTTCATTGTCCGACCTCGTGACAAGATGAAAGACATCTTTCTCAATTTTGATATTTTGTGGTTGGTTACCGGAAGCGTCTTCAATCGCATCGCTTTGGATATGAGAGGCGAGAGATTGTATATATTAAGTGTTATTCAAGAGTGTATATCATGGTTACAACTTTTCTAACCTAGCAATCCGATCTATGAAACGCCAGATGATCTGCAATTAATTCCAGAGGCGACTTGTGGGATCAAATGAGGAACATGCCTACGACCATGAGTGAAAAAGAATTAAAAAAAAAAAAAAACTTACGCATAAATTGTCTTTTATGTTCAGCATCTCTTGGATCTTCCCGAGGCTTGAAGTGTGCGGCTGGAAAATATGAAAAAAATTTTTAGAAGAAGAAATCCA